TCTATAGCGTATATATTTACTCCTGAAGGACATATAGCCGAGAGGTTGATAGTTTATCCAAGAGGAGTGGTTGGCCTTTAAATTGATACCAATTATATTTTCGTATGTACTCGGATGTGGGAGTTACACGTAAATATTTACAGGTGCTTACGTATTAATATATTATTTAGTAACCCATTACCACACCAGGGGCGGAAATATAGCGCTGATCGCTTTGAAAACGCCTATAATTTTCGGTGATGATCAGATAAAAAGTTTGGGATGAAGCGGACCGAAAACTTATTTTTTTTCCAGTCGATCTATAGGCCACATTGAAAGCCGAACATCACAACACAACCCACGATGAAAGGAATGTGGACAAGTAATTAGAAGTGGTTTACTGAATATTACTAATATTTGTTGAACTCTAGTCGGTCAAGAGGGTAAAAATATGGCGAAATATTGCCCAAGCTCAGAATATAGAACCACACAAAGTTAGATTTTCGTGGAAGTTGTGTAGGTTATAATATAGTCGGCCCCGTCCGACTATACTGCTCCGCTCACTGGTTTTAAAAATGACGTGACCCTAATCACGTGGATTAAAAAAAATATTTTTTAAGGATCTAAAGTAGGAGTGGATTTTTTTTTAAATGACGCAACCCTAATGACGTGGATTTAAAAAATATATTCTTCTAAGGACCAATGGGGGCATGATTTCAAAACAAATATATATTTTTTTTTCTTATTATTTTCGCGCATCAAATGATCCATTTGCCATTTATTTTAAAATATTTAATATGTAGCAAGACTCAGTCCGATGTTCAGATTTTTATCGCATTTCTAAAAATTGAAAACTTCCATGCCATCTCAAAACTTTATTCGTTTCGTCTATCAACTTTGTGTTCAAATTGAATGTCAATGACAGTCATTCATGGCTACCGCACCCAAAAACTATTTATTTATTTATTTTTTATAGAAATTACCCAAAAACAAAACAAAATATTTTATATCTCATTGTTGTTATAATAAAATCATATATAAATAAAAAACACAATAATTTTGCAAAAACCGGAATTGTTTTAGAACTTCCTAAATTAGAGATGTAGAACGTCAGAACAAAATCAACTCTCAATATAAACCAGTTTTTTTGCAAAAAAAAATTAAAACCATACAAGGCAAAATTTTTTTGCAAATAATAAAATCATCTCAAAAACATTTTTTTTACTTTATAGCCAGCCTACTGGCAATAATTTTTCAAATCCATTTTTTATAACTATAATAAAATAAACAAAATAAGGTTAAACTATTTTTAATAAATTAAATAAATAAAAGTCAATTTTCCTATTGAACAAAAAAAATAAATAACAAAAAACCTCTATTCCATAAAATATAAACAATATTAGTTATTGTTGTTGTAGTTTTTTATTTATTTACATGAGTATTAGTATTGTTTTTTTTTTGCATTTTCCAAATTGTAGCTGATTATAACAAAAACAAACAACAACGGTTAAATTCAAAACGCCAGTTTTAATTTGTTACGCCAGCTCTGCTAAATATGGTCAGAACAAGTGTCCAGCAATATATTTTTTGTGTGTTTGTGCGCCTGCGCATGCAAAGGCGATGTGTCAGCAATTGACGATCGAAATACACCGCAAAAGAAATATGCCACTGGCAAAGGGAACTAGACTTGAGGAATTAGCGATTAAAGAGTTAACAAATTATGGTTAAAACTTTAAGCATTGTTTGGATCTGCAGAAAGATATTTTTTAATAAAATCCACGCATTGTTTGAATCTGTAGAAAGATAATTTTTAATAAAATCCACGCCTTGTTTGGATCTGTAGAAAGATAATTTTTAAATAAAATCCACGCCTTGTTTGGATCTGAAGAAAGATATTTTTTAATAAAATCTACGCCTTGTTTGGATATTTAGACCGATATTTTAAAAAGTCCACGCCTTATATTTATACCGATTTTTTAAAAAATCCACGCCTTATATTTATACCGATTTTTTAAAAAAATCCACGCCTAATATTTATAGCGATTTTTTAAAAAATCCACGCCTAATATTTTTACCGATTTTTTTAAAAAATCCACGCCATATATTTTTATTACATTTTTTTTAAAAATTCCCGCCTTATTTGCCACTACAAAAATATTTTTAAACCAGTGAGCGGAACAGTATAGTCGGACAAATCCTACACAACTTCCACGAAAATCTAACTTTCTGCACCCTCTTGACCGGCTAGAGGTCAACAAATATTACTAATATTCAGTACATCCTTTATAATAACTTGCCTAAATTCCCTTCATCGTGGGTTGTGTCGTGATGTTCGGCTTTCAATTGTGACCTAAAGATCGACTAGAAAAAATACAAACAAACAGGTTTTCGGTCCACTTCATCCCAATACTATTATCTGATCATCACCGAAAATTATAGGTGTTGTCCTTGACCATAACTGGAACCTCACGGAACATTTCAAAGTGATCACCACTACATTCGGCCTTCTGGTGTGGTAATGGGTTACTAAATAATATGTGAATACGTAAGCACCTGTAAATATTTATGTGTAACTCCCACATCCGAGTACGTACGAAAATATAATTGGCATCAATTTAAAGGTCAACCACACTTCTAGGATATACTATCAACTTCTCGGGGTCTATTTCTTTCAGTACTAAATATATACACCATAGGATACAAATTTTGTCATTATTCATACAAACGACAGGGTCCATGTGACCGATCTTTATCAAAACAGGCATTCCTATTCTTTGGCCCCATCCCCTTCTCCATGTAAAAATAATTGCGACCAGAAAACCGACAAAAATTAAGTATTTGGTCCATTTCATCCCCTAAATATTAACCGATCTTTACCAAAAACATTAGAGGTCTTCAATGGCCAGAACCCATCCTACATGCAAAATTTCGTGAAAATTGGTCCATAACTGGGGCCTGTATCGTGTTTACAAATTATAATGAACGGACGGACACACATGTCTAGATCAACTCAGCTAGTCGAAATATGACGATCGGTAAAGGTGGGTCTAGGACCAATATTTCGTGGCGTTACAAACTCTTGTGGTTGCACAAAGCTAAATTTCGTGAAGATTGGTCCATAACTGTGGCCAGTATCGTGTTTACAAATTACAATGGACAGACGGACGGACACACATGCCTAGATCGACACAGCAAGTCGAGATATGACGATCGGTATATTTAAAGGTGGGTCTAGGACCAATATTTCGTGGCGTTACAAACTCTTGGGACTGCACAAAGCTAAAATACCCTGAGAACATAGTTATGTAGGGTATAAAAACTCATTTTTTTTAATAAAAGTTTATAAAATATTTTTAAAACATCCAAGCCTAGTTTGAAGATTAAAAAAAATTTTTTAAAGATTCACGCCCTATTGACCTTTTCGGATCGTTGGATCTTTAGAAATGAACTGATGGGAGGCTTGATGTAGAAGTTGACGTGAGTTCGAGAAGACGGGCTGAGGGGAGCTTTTATAGACGAGTCTGTGTAGCAACGGCGTAGCCAGAGGGGGCCCTGGGAACCACCCTCCCCCAAAAGTGAAATTTTTTCACAGTAAATTTATTTCCAACAGCGATTTTTTTCATTTTGTGCTACCGGGCCCCCGTTTGCTGCTTTGTAGACTAGTTAGTTAGTGACTCAACTAGTAACATGTTGGTAGTTGGCATTTTCGAAACACATAAATATATTTATTACACTGTATATACATATGTATCTCTCCACATTTAAGTCGTTTCAAATATACTGACATCGTGAACCGGTTAAGCGACCATAACAACAAAAAACCCACAAAAAAATCCAACAACAACAAAGACCAGAAAAATATTGCAGAATAACAGCCAAAAATGAAATAGTAAAAAAAAAAACAAGTGTTTTGTAGCAAAAATTATATGGATGCCCCTTCTCCCCACATTACCTAGAACATCCGCAAGTGAAGGGTAATGAGGAGTTTTTTTAACAAATATCAATATAATAACTAATTGAGGAACAAAAAGTTTCACTTCATTCGGCTGTGTGAGAGGGTGCCAAAAATAAAAACAACAAAAGTTGTTGATATTTCCGTTTGGGAAGGGGTTGATAAGAGGTTATCAAAGGGGATGAGTCTTGAAATGAGAAGTCGGCAAATGATATGTATTTTAACCCGAGATGTGCTAGCGTGACCATATGGTAACCTGTACCCGAGCAGTGCTAGTGTGAACATACGAGCACAGCCCAAAAATTAATCCTGTCGATTATCCTGATAAGAAAAAAGGATACAAATCAAATTTTTGAATTCAGTGGCCCACAATCTAGAGACGCTGAAAGTATCGTCCCACAATTCGAAAAAAAATAATTACAGCAATATTCGGGTTAAAGAGCCGAAAAGGGTATAACTTTACACAGTTGAAAGTGAACCTTTCATTTCATTTCTATTAGGATGAACTGAAATATATGGACATATGTGTGTGTTTTTGAAATGGTTCCTCCATCGATTTTTTCTTTCACTAAAGCAAATTGGTTTAAAACTCAATTCTCCGTGTTATTTGAAAAAATCCGTTATCAATAAAAAACCTTTTCAAAATGCATACAAAAATTCCACACATTATGCGGGTCGCTTGAGACAAAAAAATACAATTAAACAGCAGCAACAACTAAAGTCTGATAATTCCCCCCGTCTAGTGTCACCAAGTGTCAAACTAATTGTAAACAATTAAAAACAAAAGAGAAGAAAAAAATACAGAAAAACGGTCAAAAAGATTAATAAGACGAATTGAAGAAAAAAACTATACAAAAAGAAACAAAAACAAAACATCAGCAATGACTCATAACCCACTGGTCATTGTTTAGTGGAACCCAAATAAATCGCCTCCATATAAAAAAATGCCATAATACCCCCTACTCCTTACACAACTTGTTTGGCTACAATGTAGCAACAGCAACACCAAAATAAAAAACCAAACCACAACAAACCCAAAAAAAAAAACGAACTAGAAAACTTCTTCGTAATGGCTACAGCATCTGCAAGAACAACAATAACAACACCCGCATCTTCGTCGTTGCCATCTTCCGCCATTTCAACAAATACTCTTCGAACACTACCGCGCAAACGAAGACCTCGTGCCGTGGGTGAAGTGTCAATAACATGTCCTTCAAGTTGTGTTTATTTGAATGCCGAAGATATTAAGGAAAACGGGGCGGCTATGGATGCGAACGCTGCTCCCATTCCAGATCCCGTTTATCAGAATACCAACTGCATTGATGAGCTAAAAGAAAAAATCGAAGCCTGTCAGCTAAAGACAAAGGAATCCACATCGACGACAAACAGACATCAACGATCACGCATCCATTTAACATTTGTTCGCGCCACCATCGCCGAAGTGGACGATGAAAGGCGTGAGGGTATGGTGATGACAACGTTTGTAGGTTGGTGAAGTTTTATTTTTATGCGGAAGCATTTTTTTAATTAATTTTGTGAAGAAAATAGAGCAGAGGGGAGGAGATTTTGTAGGGATAAACTGAGAAAGAGAGGCGATTTCTTTATTGAAGAGAGTTTTTTTATAAACGAGTTGAAGGGAGTCTTTATAGACAAGCTGGAGGAAGCCTTTATAGACCAGTTGAAGGGAGTATCTATAGACGAGTTTATGATGGAGTCTTATGGAAGAGCTGAAGGTAGTTTTAATAGACAGGAATCTTTATAGTCGAGATAAAAAGAGGTCCTTATTTGACGAGTTGCAAGGAGTCTTTATAGACGAGTTGGAGGGAGTCTTTATACCGAAATCGGGTGGGAGTTTAATAGATGAGCTGGTGGGAGTCCTATAGCCGAATCGAGAGAGAGTATTTATAGATGATTTGGAGGGATGAGCCTTATAGACGAGCTAAATCGAGTCTTTATAGAAGAGCTGAAGGGAGTCTTTATAGACGAGCTGAAGGGAGTCTTTATAGACGAGCTGAAGGGAGTCTTTATAGACGAGCTGAAGGGAGTCTTTATAGACGAGCTGAAGGGAGTCTTTATAGACGAGCTGAAGGGATTCTTTATAGACGAGCTGAAGGGATTCTTTATAGACGAGCTGAAGGGAGTCTTTATAGACGAGCTGAAGGGAGTCTTTATAGACGAGCTGAAGGGAGTCTTTATAGACGAGCTGAAGGGAGTCTTTATAGACGAGCTGAAGGGAGTCTTTTTAGACGAGCTGAAGGGAGTCTTTTTAGACGAGCTGAAGGGAGTCTTTTTAGACGAGCTGAAGGGAGTCTTTGTAGACGAGCTGAAGGGAGTCTTTATAGACGAGCTGAAGGTAGTCTTTATAGACTAGCTGAAGGGAGTCTTTATAGACGAGCCGAAAGGAGTCCTTATTTGACGAATTGCAGGGGTTCTTTATAGACGAGCAAAATGTAGTCTTTATAGCGGAATCGGGTGGGAGTTTTATACATGAACTAGTGGGAGTCTTATAGCCGAATCGGGTGGAAGTCTTATAGACGAGATGGAGGGAGTCTTTATAGACGAGCTGAAGAGAGTATTTATAGGCGAGCTGGAGGAGTATTTATAGTCGAGCTGAAGAGAGTCTATTTATAGGGAAGGGAATCTACTTAGACGAGCTTAAAAGAGTCCATTTAGACGAGATGAAGGGAGCCATTACAGTCGAACCGGAGGGGAGTCTTAGATATGAGCTGGTGAGAGTCTTTAAAAACGAGGTGGAGGGAGTCTTTATAGACGATCAAAAGGGAGTCTGAGTCTTTACATACGAGTGAGTAGTCTTTACATACGAGCTACAGAGAATTATATTTAGACGAGCCGAAGAGAGTCTTTATAGGCGATCTATAAAGTCGGGTCTAAGAGTTTAAGGTAGAAAATCTTCCCCTAGACGAGTGAAGTGCAGTTCTATTAGAGTATAAAGCAGTTTTATAGTCGAACATAAATAAGTCTTTAGAGACATTTATAGACATTATATGGACGTAGTTTTTATAAATCTATAAAGAATCCCACCAGAATATCGTGGTTAATCTATGGAGTATTTATAATTGAAGTCTTCATAAACGAATATCTGACGATTACATTTGGCGCCCGAATGATGGTATTTTATTGGAGCCATAAAATCGAAGCCTTTACATAAACACGGATGACTTCTTTATGGAGTAGCAATTTGAAAGCGAGCTTTCATTTTTGATAACCCAATTTTTTGAAGGCCTTCCCATAGTAGGAAAGTCATCGTAATTTTTAAATTGGAACCTTGGAAAGTGGTCAAACATTTGCCTAATTTCCATACACAATTTTAAAAATTTTCTTTATTTTTTTCCTTCTGATTACCCAAGCTAATCTTCCCTTTCTGTCATTTTTTTCTCTCTCTTTCCAGATGATCCCGATCATTATTATGAACAACTCTCCCCGGGTGGTATACTCAATAAACGTCATTCGCTGGCCGTGCAGGAGCGGGGCGGAAGTCTGCAACGTAATCAAAATATGGTACGAGTATCGAAACGTGGCAAAGCCATATCCTATTCGGCACATGCCTTGGGTCAAGAAATATCCGATGACTCCTTTGACTCAGATACGGATGATTATTATGAGGGAGAACTGCAGCATACCCACAATGATAGTGGTGTAGATATAAGAACTTCAAAATTACCTGATCCTCCCGTGGCCTCAAATCAAATGTATTCATTTGTAAAGAAATTTAAAAATTTCTTAGTGAAAAAATCTCCAAACAGCTCCAAGCATGGTGGCAGCCAACAAAAAATTGATTCGGATACTTCATCACAATTCTATGTGAATGGTAATTTCCAGAGTGGTAAAGAACGCGAATCGGGAGGTGTAGGTGTTGAACAACCCATTAAATCTTTATCGCTACAAGCCCCGCAGACCAAAGAGTTGAGTACATCGGAAAAAAATTTAATTATGGCCCAAAGTAATGTCACCAAAGCGGAACAATTGAACACCTCCACAACACCGCGTAAACCCAAATCGGGTAAAAGTTTGAGGCATCGAATACGCAAGAGTCTGGTGGGTTTCGACAACAAACAATTGGCCACCTTGACACCAACACGTAGCACCTTCTATATTGAAGATCCTGTGCAATCGGAAGAAATGACGGGACAATTGGATTCAGGATTCTCGGAGAAGGTTTCATCGTCCGAAGTCAGGGAGAATACAGCAACAACACCAACAACAAATGATACTCAAAAATATTTAACTTCACGTAAAGCCAAGAAAGAAAGTAAAGTGAATTCTCAACGGCGGCGTACCTCAATTGGCATACGACCCATTGAACCACCACCACCCCCACCTCCGGCGGATGGCAATGGTAATATGAAGCGTCAAAGTACCACCTCTTGGTATGCTGAATGTGGAGTCTTTAAAAATGGCACCACCAATCTGGTAGGGGAAGATAGTCAACTGCTCAACGGTGACAACGAAAATGGCAATGGTGGAGGTACATCGTGGTATGAAGAAGCAGGCCTCTATCAAACCAGTGGTGTTTCTGTGGCTAGCTCTAGCGGCAGTTCAGGGGTCTCAACCAGCAATGAAGCCAATCCGGGTGATGAAATTACCCATAGCCTGTTCAGTAATGAACCTTTGTATCAGATTTATAGTGCAGCAAAATTGGAAGCCATTTCTCGCGATATGCAGGATAATAGTTCCACAGATGGTTACGAGGAGATTGGTGAACGTCGTAAGAGTACACAAAATGGTGGAGAGGCGAATCGTAAGTCATCGCGACCGACAGCGTTGCAGTTGGTGGAACCAAAAAGTGGACCGGAACGTACTTTGTGGAGTCAAATACCGGAAGTGGTGAATTCAATGATATTACGTGAGTATTTGGGGTGGGGATGGATAGAATTTTTTTCAAGGGGTAAAAGGAGGTTCTATTATATATATGGACGAAGATGGGCTACATTGAGGAAATCTTTATAGAAGAGCTAATGGGAGTATTTATAGGCGAGTTGGAGGTAGTATTTACAGTCGATCTAAAGGCAATTTTTATAGAAGAGAGCCGGAGGTATTATTTGAAGGCGAGCTGGAAGGATTCTTTAAGGAGAAGTCTTTAGAGACGTGCTGGAGAGTGCCATATAGCCGGACGGGGAAACTATTTAATCGATAAAATCTTCGTAGGCGAGCTAGATGGAGTATTTATAGATCTGGAGGGAATTTTTCCAGAGGAGCCGGAGGGAGCCTTTATAGTGGAGCCGGATATATTTTTTACAGACGAGAGGGGAAGAGTTTGATGTAGAATTCAAATGCGAACTGGATACTTAATGAGAGTTGCAAAAATCTTTATAAACAAGTAGGAGGGAGTCTTTTTCGACGAGCTGGAGAAAATCTTTATAGACCAGCTGGAGGTAGTATTCATAGGCGAGCTGGACGGAGTACTTTTTAGGCGAGATGTATAGAGTTTTTATAGATGAGCTGGAGGGAGTATTTAAAGACGTGCTGGAAGCAGTCTTTAAGCAGACCTGAAGAAATTTGTTCTAAACTAGCCGGACGAAAGAGCCTTTCCTAGACATGACGAAGCAAGCATTTAGAAAGACATTTTTTCGACAACCTTTCCAACCTCAACCTTTCTTAAATTCTCCTATATTATTCCCCTAATCTATTACCTAATCTAATTTGATATGTTTCTTCTTTTCATTTCAGCCACTCTCACACCCCGTGAACGTGCCCTAATGGAAGCGAAATTTGAGATTATAACCTCCGAGGCAAGCTATCTGAAATCGTTGAATCTCTTGCGCAGTCACTACATGAATCATCCGGTATTTCGTGATCAAAATCTGGTCAATTCAAGAGATCGCAAAGCTCTCTTTGCCCAAATTGTACCCGTACACGAATGTTCGGAACGTTTACTTTCCGAATTGGAATCCTGCTGGCAGGATAACATTATGCTGATAGGTCTTAGTAAACGTATTTATGCCATTGCCGAAAAACATTTCCATGTCTATATTGGTTTCTGTGAAAATCAGGGACGCATGGATCGGACGCTGAAGAGACTGCGTGCCAACAAGGGTCTGTTCGCGCAAAATCTTGAACTACTCGAATCGAGTCCACTGTGTTGTGGTCTGAATCTCCATTCATTTTTAATGCTGCCCATGCAGCGGATTACCCGACTGCCGTTGCTCATTGACGCCGTTTTCAGTAAATGTCATCCCAACGATGATGAATATGAAAATTGGAAAATGTGCCTGGCCATAATGAATAAAATCGTGACGCAGTGCAATGAAGCGGCAACGAAAAGTGATCAGGCCTATGAAATCGAGAAGATATCACGACAATTGGAATTTAATCCATCGGTAATAAGGCCATTGGCCATAGCTCCCGCTGGGGTATTGGCACCCGGTACCAAACCACGGTATCTGGTCAAGAAGGGCGAATTCACCCATCTGATATGGCGTGGTGATGATGCCAAACTGACGTTTGGCAAGAAATTCACCAAGACCACAATTTATGCATTTCTATTCTCCGATCTGTTGGTGCTGACAAAACGCAAGGGTGAGGAACAGTTTTCGGTCTTTGACTATTGTCCACGCAATATGTTGACAATAACATCAGGTGATTCGCTGCCACAAGTTCCGACCAAAGATTTGAATAGTCAGACTAGTAAAAATCTCATTCTGATGACATTGCTAGAGAATCATCAGCGTAAAACAAATGAATTGGTGAGTGGGAGAAAAAGAGGAGGAGGAGGGGGAAGAGGCTGGAACAAATTATTTTTATTATTATTTTAATCTTTTTTTAATTTTAGCTTCTGTCATGCCCCTCAGTATCCGAGCAGGAAAGATGGCTGCAGGCCATGCGTCCCCCAGAGTCTGAGACACCCGGTGAGAAGTTATATGAACAATGGGATTGTCCACAGGTTATTGCCAAACATGCCTACGAGAGCAATGAACCCGATGGCCTAAATTTGGAAATTGGAGATGTAATCAATGTGACAAGAAAGTTACCGGATGGTAAGGACAAAAACATAATTGAATTAAAAAAAATACACGCTTTGGATAATATTTTTAAAACATGAGGCCTTGATCACCGTGAATATTTTTTTAAAATTTAGAAACATATTTTTAAAAAAAAATACACGCCTTATTTTTTTTATTATTTTATTTAAAAATGCCTTTCTAAATGCTCAAAAATTGTGGTCTCCTCAAAAAACACTGACATTTAATTAAATTGTTCTTCTTCTGCTTTCAGGTTGGTATCAAGGCGAACGCATACGTGATGGTGCCGTTGGCTGGTTCCCCGGCGATTATACCGAAGAAGTTAATTCCGCTCATGTTCGGGCCCGCAATCTCAAACTAAGACATCGTCTGCTTACATTTACCGCCACCTATTTAGAGTCACAAAAACGCAATAAATGATCCAAAAGAAAAACCAGCATATGGTCGAAGAAAAATACTGAAGCCCCAAAAATAGCTTCCACATTAATAAAATCTAGTATCCAGCCGTATCATAACTGAATGTGTAATTTAAGTGTAAAATAAAAATAATAATTTTATGTTTTTATTATATAAAAAAACAACATTTGCAATAACCCTATTTTATTGATAATATTTATTTTCTTTTATTGTTTATGTACATGTGATATCAAATTAATGTTATATTATTTTTTGGATGATAAAAAAATTTGTTAAGTACCACACACATTATTTTTTATGTTTTAAATTTATTTTTTATATTAATTTGTTTCTAATTGCAATTGCATCAAATTAGTCAATTAGTTTTATACGATTTTATTAATAAGTAATATAAAAATATATGTATTTTATAACGGTATATACCCATTATCACCAGACTTTCAATATTTTTTAAGATGTCAATATAAGAGATTTTATTATAGCGATACGTTTTGTATTATAGCTTTTTATATAATTTTAATCAAATCAATATAAATTTAAATATATATAGATGTACGTGTGTATACAAACGATATTTACAAACAAAAAATATTCTAATATATTAGTCAAAAATGTAAAAATAATAAATAAAACGAATATTCAATATAAAATTAAAATAAAATAATATATTTCTTTTGAAAAAAAGGCAAAAAGTCAAATCTCAATTAAATTTGAATCTAACACCAAATTTCAGTGATACTCTCCCACATACAAAATGTCAGAATTATAGCTTTAGCCGTTTTATTTTTTATTTTGGCTTTTTTTATTCTTGTATATTGAGATAAAAATGAATTAAAATTATTTATTTAACACCTTCCTTGTGTTATCGTTGTATCACTTTGAACAAAATTAATGCAACTAGTTCCCGTTGTTCATTTTACGAGACCCCCAATGTAGTCAGTTGACTCTCACAGCTGTTTACATGTTGCCGTTATACATTTGCACTCATTCGTAAACATGTCGGCCATGTTCTTCTATCTCCTTCATTCGTATAATTTGTTACTAGTTCCTATTGTTCACTTCACTGAACTGTTTATTTGAACTAATACGTTCCGAAACGAAAAAAGACAGAATTGCTCAAATTAATCCAAAATATTTCAAATGTTTTATTTGTTTTACTAATTAAAATATGCAAGAGAAGAATTCAACAAACAATGGACCAGCTGGCTATATGCAGGTAAATATTTGTAGAACGAAAGAACTGAGTTCTCATCAACAAAACGTAAGAAAAATTGTGAAAAAGTGGCCGAAGAAGTGTTTGGTGAAAGGCATGCCAACAAGCATGATTGAGTTTTCTTATGAGGACCATGAATTTCACCATTTCCAGTTGTAATGCAATATGAGAAGAATAATGTACACATTTTTAGTGACAATCGATAATCTTTTTAAAATCACCTAAAATACTATTATAATTATTAAAGGATATTTTGTCGCGTAGCCGGTGTTGACATCTGTCCATAGCTAGAATTCATAAATGCCAGTTCAAACGCCGGTCACTCAGTAGCACTGTTATATTTTTAAAGACACCAATATTGACCAATTTTAAATACTATAACAAAGTTCGTCGGTACATACCAAATTTTGGAGGCTCATATCACAGGAAATATAGGCTTCTTCGATAAGCCTCTTTTGTTAGGCATGACAGATGTGATCCGGAATAATTATGGATATACTAAATTCTGTGTGCTCTTGTCGCTAGACTTAGAAAAGGCTTTTGACAGAGTGGATCACGGTAAACTAGTTACTAAGCTCGCTACATGTAATGCTTGTTCTCTTATTACATCCTATCTTTTTGATAGAAAACAGCTTGTATGTGTTGGTAATACAAAGAGTTCTATTTTGACAGTCAAAAGTGGAGTGCCTCAAGGCTCGATTTTGGGACCACTTCTGTTTGTTGTTTTTATTAATGATATGTTTCTAGATCTAGTTTTTTGTTGCCGGCCTTTTGCATTTGCAGACGACGTCCAATTGCTCTTCACAGGTGACAGTACATTTCTTTCCATTTTTCAATCGAAGATTGATAATGCAATGGTTGCATTGAAAAATTGGATGATGAATAATACTCTAAGTATTAAGTATTTTGTCGAAGACAAAAGCTCTTTTTTCGCATCATTCAATAATAACTGCGTGTCTATTTCGTACAATAATTCATAAATTGCTTTTGTTTCTGAGTTGTTGTGCTTGGGAGTTTTACTTGATGACAAACTTAATTTCTGCCACCATATAAATATGGTGGTATCTCAGCTAAACTCATAATAATTGGCCAAATAAGACTTTGTGTACATGTAAGAGTTTAAATAAATAAATAAATTTCAGATCTTCAATCGCTGTTTTACAAGAAACGAAGCTGACCAGCAGTTGCTCCCTATCCTCCTCCGAGAATTACAACCTCATTCTGCTAGACAGGGATAGGAGGCATTATTCATTAACCAGCGGGATGTCAGATATATTCGGACTTCCAGTATAATTCTTTCCTAGAGGTAATGAGCATTTCAGTTCATTCCGAAGATTCAGAAATTGAAATTGCCTATGTCTATATTCCGCACGTCAAAAGCATTGGGGTCAGTTATTAGCGAAGCGCAATTAATCTGTTGCAGGGAAATAAAACGATACACGCGTAATACTTATTGCGAACCAGATAGGGGTATCCGATTTCGCTTCTCTCAACGATGGAATCCTCTACAAGAGAGTCAGTGCTAGGTGTTTGAGCACTCCGGGCATTACTATAATCAGTGCGTATACTTCCTGGAAAACCATGGTCGCTTTAAATTCAGATCATATTGCCATCCTTGTCACTGTAAAAAACCCAGCGATTTCGTGCAGCCCAACCTGCTTACAGAACTCTTCATTTTTGCGGGCTGAATTCCATTAAGGAGACCAAATTATTTATACAGAGTATACATAGTGGCACAACAACACAACTTCGTGCCGAATGCCCCGCTGACGACAGAATTCTCCCGTTTCCACGACAGAGGGGTCAACGATATGGAACTACCCGTGTCTTACTCGGCCAACGTCTGTCTCCTTAGCCCAATGTCTAAAATCAATTGGGCTGCTTCTACCATAACAACAGATTTATCCAGCTAAGATGCCAGCTAATAGATGCTTTAGAACTTTAGCAAAGCCTATACTATGGTATAGCATTGGCGCTCTAAATTGTTAAAACACCCTAACCATTGCAATATAAATTCCAATCAGCTTTGTTCTGCAATAAAGTGTCTACCTATTCCAATTGAAATGAAAATCTCCCTCCTTCAATATCATTGCAAAATCTTCGAATAATCGATTTCACAGTTGGTAATTCTTGACATCTGGAACGTTGCCAGGATTTATTCAATTCTAAAACCAGATAAATCTGCTAATAATGTGAAATTTTATCGGCAGATTTTCCTTCTTACCCTGAAACAGGCAAGCATATAGCACAACAACATCTTTGCAAGAAATTACTTCAAGGTTGCCAATGGTCTCAATCAGTGACAATCGCCTAAACATTGAACATTGTGACAGCCTTACATTTGTCCAAGACGTTCAATTCGATAAATATAGGTCTATCTCGTTTCTTTTTACATGTTACCTTGCACACATATCTACGGAAGTATGTTGTTTTAAAAAAATGTAATGGCCCTGTAATCAGACACAAACGGATTGTGTTTCTAATAAATAGTACACATTTGGAATACATTTTTTTAAACATTGGATCCCAATCGTTCGGAATCATAAACGCTATCTGTGGTAACAATTAAAAAAAACGTTATTGAGTAAATGTAATCATCAATTTCATTGTTAAGCTATATCAAAACAGAAACATGGAATTCCAAATATATCCGGTACCATCCATACCATACCTTCAAAGTTACAGCTTTATTTATTTCAATTTGGCGATTTTTCAATTTGTTAAAGATGTTTATTTTTAATTTTCCAGAAATTCTTTCCTATTTTTATATGGACAAATATTAATCTTCCAAAATTCCACCCGCTCAGTTTAAAGAATGAAATCGAAATATTTATTTGGATTTGCCTCCAAAACCACACATATATAGCAAACATAATTGTTGGTTTATCAGCAAGCCTCAATTTGAGGTCAATTTTTGTTGTTTATATTTTTTGCTTGTTTTTAATTTGTTGTGACCACATTCTGAGTTCTGAAGCGTACCAACAGCAATTCGTACAATTGTTTTAGTTTCTTATCGGCAATTTCAATCTCTGCATCAAAACGAGCCAAAACCCAAACATACACACACTAAACGTCCATTATTGAAAAAATAAAAACAATCAAGCTCGGCTATTTACGACTTTATGGAGCATTTAGTTCAGTATTAAGTCGCATCAAATGAAGAAGCTCTTAGTGAGTTGACCAGTGTGTTTAGAAGAAAAGCTTTTCGTCCATCATATCGATATATCAAACGAATGGAATAATCAAGAAATAAATAATATATTAATTTTTCCATTTTTTTCGATTGCAGACAAAACGTATGATTAATCTAAGTAATTCATCAGATGAATATCACTCGGCCAATGATGAATCCTTTACAACAATAAGTACTGGACAGCAGCAACAACAAAGTGTGGTTGTCGCCACACCGCCCACAACATTGGCAGCACGCAAACAGCTTTCACCTGCCGATCCGAATGAACCCACCAAACCTCTGTCGGCATATGCTTTATTTTTCCGTGACACCGTCAGTGCCATTAAGCAACAGAATCCGAATTGTACATTTCAGGAATTATCGAAAATTGTCTCGTCCATGTGGGAGGCCCTGGACCCTATACACAAGGCGGTATACAATAAGAAAAACGAGGCAGCCAAGAATGAGTATATTAAGCAAATGAAAATATATAGACAACAACAGACAGCAGTAGCATCATCAGACGGTGGTGATGCAGTTCAGCAGCAGCACGATCAATCAGCAACAGTAACGCCAAACACAAAATCAACAATATTTAACACAATGAACCTCAATCAAACAACGACAACGATTTTAAATCAAAATAATGTCT